CTGAGATGTCCAGCCGCTCAGCCCGCGCCTCCGCCTCCACCGCCTCCTCTTGCTCTCCTTCTGCGGGCGAAGCCGAGGGAGCCGAGACTTGGTCGCGATCCTAGTCGCCTTCCCCCCCCCCTTCCCCACCTCCCTCGTTCCCTCTCCCGGCCGGCCATGGATCGCTGCAAAGCGTCGATGGGGAGAAAGAAGAGGAAAACTCTCGGCTGCTTCCTGCCGGGCTGCTGGAGTTCCTCTGGGCATTCGTAGGATCGCTCGGGGGAGAGGGGATTGCGCGCTCGGGGCAGAGGCTGAGTGACGGCCGGAGAGAGCCGGAGATGTCTCCGGCGGGGTTGACCTTGTCAATTTCACGCCTCGCCTTCCGCCTGGACCACAGCGAGCTGGTCAATTTCAGAGGCGGCCAAGGCGCCTCGGTTGGGGGGGCTTCTGTCGCCCGTCCTCTCCTCTCTCTGTGTGTGTTCCCTCCCGCCTCCACCACAAATAATCTCCGCTCTTCCTCCTGGCTGCGCGGATGCCTGCTCCTCCTGCTGCTGCTGCTGACGGGCGACTTCTTCGGGGGATTATAGCCAAGCAACGGCGAGCCCTCCCCGCCGCATCTGGACAGATCAATTAGGGGCGGGGGGGGGAGAGAGAGAGAAACCCTCTCGCTCCTCTTGTACCTTTCCTGCAACTGCCCTGGTTTGCTTCCGGCTTTAAAGAAGTTTCGTGATGACTGTTGTTGAAGCGATCATCATCAGTACCTCTTGAAGAAAAGATTTTTGAATCCTCCTATAGGATAGTTTGGGGGATTTCCAAGGCCACCAACCTTTCTTCTTTCTCCTGGAAGGAAGCATCCATCTCTTGAAGAACACAGCTTTTGAATTCAGACCTCCTTTTTCTCTTCTGGCCGGGACCTCTGGAATTACAAGGTGCTCAGGGAAAGCGTAAAGGAGAAGAACCTCCTCTGAAGAGTGTAGTGGATGCTGATGGAGCCAGCCATGGAGGGCCAGCCGGGCTAGTTCATGTGCCCCTTTCTGGGAGAAAAATGGATGGGTGCCACCAAGCTACCTACCATTGGGAAGATGCGCACTTTTGGACTGAAAGGTTTCTGCCTGCTTGCCCTCCTCCTTCTGGACTCCACCATGCCAAGCCGCAGGTACCCCCGATCATGTGGGTTTGATGGTGTTTAACTTCAACGACACCATTGACACACATGAACATAAAAAAAATCCCCCTTTAGTCCTCATCCCCTTTTAATATGTGGGGGAGGATGGAAAGGCAGTTTAGCAAGCCAACCACTCATGGGAACGGACATTGAGTGCCAAAGGAGGCATGGAGGGGGGGACACATCTTTTTTCCTGCAATAACTGACTGAGCCTTGATTCCCACCCCCCAGCCAACAAGTTGGTGGGTGTGGGTGGGACACATCTGCCATTCAATGTGACACCCTCTCCCCACCTGCCCCGACTACGCCATGGAGCTGTCCGAGGTGCGCTGCTTGAGCGACAGTGATGAGTTGTACACCATCAACCAGACGCCCCCGAGCGGCGGTGTGCGTTCCCAGCGCCTGCTGTGGCAGACCGCCGTGCGCCACATCACGGAGCAGCGGTTCATCCAAGAGCACAGCAGCGGCAAAGCGCTGGGTTCGGACGAGCCCTGCTGCCCGAACCACTCCCATCGTCCCCGGAGCCATTCGGCCGGCAAGAGCCTGGGGGGCCACAACAATGGGGGGACCAAAGTCTTCCCAGAGCGCACCAGCAGCAGTGGGGATCTGGGCTTCCTGCACGTGGACTGCGCTCCCAGCAACTCGGACTTCTTCCTCAGTTGGGGCTACACCTACCGGGGTGTGATCTTCCCCACGCTTCACAATTCGTTCAAGTCCCGGGACTTGGAGCGTCTCTATCAACGCTACTTCCTGGGCCAGAGGCGCAAATCTGAGGTGGTGGTCAACATTCTGGACATACTCACCAAGCTGACCCTCCTGTTGCTCCACCTCTCTTTGGCCTCGGCCCCCATGGGCTCCCTGAAGGGCATCCTGCTGGGCTTCTTCACGGGCATCGAGGTGGTCATCTGTGCCTTAGTGGTGGTCCGGAAGGACACGACCTCTTACACCTACCTGCAGTACAGTGGGGTGGTCACATGGGTGGCCATGGCTACCCAGATCTTGGCTGCTGGCCTGGGTTGCGGGCTACTTGGAGACAGTGTTGGCTACGTGCTCTTCACCCTCTTTGCCACCTACAGCATGCTCCCTCTGCCCCTCACTTGGGCCATCCTGGCGGGCTTAGTCACCTCCCTCTTGCAACTGGTCATGGAGATGGTCATCCCCAGGCATGCTGTGACCTCCATCAATCAGGTATGTCTTCTGGGTTAATTGTTCTTCTTGTGTCAATTTTCATAGGGTTATTTACCTGTGGGTCAAGGGTGAGTAGCTATTTCCAGACTGTAGCCTCCAGAATCCCTCATCGTTGGCTTTGCAAGCAAGGGTGATGGGAGTTGTAAGCTCTCATACATTTTCAGGGCCATCGCTACCTTTCCTGTTCTAGGTGGTGGTTCATCTCCTACCTGAACAGGGTCAGGCTAATGCAGGACTGCATTATCACTCTGTGTGTGTGTGGAAGCAAACCTTTCACTTGACTGTTTTGCTGTATCTTAGCAAAGATGCATTAGTAATCCTGTTTAACCCAAGAGGGGTTATGGGTCCAGATGTTTGAGATCTTGAATTGTTCATCTCTGGTGGTGGCAGGGGCAAGGAAGCAGCCTTGTTTGAAAAAAAAACTACAGAAAAGGTGCTTTTTGATTGATGTTGGTGGTACCTTACAAAATTAAAGTCTTCTAAGAAAGTACATGCAGGCGATGACAGGAAGGGCCAACCTGTACATTATAGATAACTTGTTATTACACCTGTAATCAGGCAGACTTCTGCGTGCGAGAAATCAGATTTGCAGGCAAAGTTCATGTTCAGCTGTTGTAAGACTAATTACAAAGTTGCAAGCTATGTGAGATGAGAGAAGCAGCCTGCTAGGACAATCACAGTCTTTCAACACTGGAGAGATACCCTTTTCGAATAATGTGTTATCTGTAATACACAGCTTGACCCTAAATCATTTCTATGGAGTCATAATATGCATGAATACAAACCCACCCTGATTTGATCAGATGAATCGTTCCCAAACAGATGCTTTCCAAGAATGTAGAACGATGAGTCCCCTCATCCTACAACTCCCAGCATGCCACCTGGGAATGCTGGGAGTTGTAATCCAAGATAGCTAAATGATGTCAGGAGATGGGGAAGAGTGAATTATCTCATTGATGTCTTTCTGGTCCCCTAAGGAACGTTAGAAAGTGTGCATGAGGTTATTCCATTTTATCGTCACAACGTGTTGAGTAGGTCAGATAGAGAGAAAGTTAGGTCTCCCCATTCTTGCTAAGCAAGGGATTTGAATCCTGGTCTTCTCCATCCAAACTCAACTGTCTTGCCTTTGCTTTACCATTTCCTGATAAGTGCCTTCTCCCTCTATAAATATTGCCATGTCTCTCTTTCCACGGAGTTGGATATGATTCAAGTGGACTTGAAACACTTCATCTGGGAGCAGAAAAAAATAGATGGTGGGAGGAAGGAGAACACGTTGATGCGCTTGAATAATTCTCAGAATTTCCCCCAGTCTCCCTAAATGCTCACAGCCACAAAACACTGCCCTTTGAGCCCTGCAGAGGTTGGATCAATCACTCAACGGACGAGGCTAATCAAGCAGCATTGCTTCGTACAGTGCAATCCTATGCGTGTTCCTTGTGAAACAAGCCCCCTTATCTTTGATGGGACTCACTCCTGGGGGTAGATGGGTATCTGTGTGCATGGGCATAGGATCGCTGCTTTCATTGAGTGTACTTTGATCATGGGACTCCCTCTTCTTTTCTCTATTGTGCTGATTTTGAAGCTTCAGGATGTGACTGCAGTAGATGCTGAAACATGTGCCTATATGTATCGGTTGTGTATATATGAAGCACACCTTTCAAATAGTCTGCACCTGATAACATCAAGTTTATTCTGAAATGATGAATGAAGCATGGAAGGCAGTGATAACGTCCAACGCCGCTTGCTGAGTCTATGGTTGAATTTGTATTGAGCCCAAGTGTCCGAGGGGTAAATGAGACAATCTGGCCATTAAAAAAGACTATTTGTTCATCTAGCTTTCAGCACCTGTCTGCTATTATTACTGCTTCCTTTTTTTCTTTGGAAACTATATTATCTGTGATTCAGATTCATAGTGTAGTGAATTCTCTTGTTGCGTCTCTGTTTCTTCTGCACAGAGGGTTTACAAGACATAGATTTGGCAGAAGTAATTATTCCATCTGTTTTATCCTCCGTTTCTGTGACAGCAGAGAATAATTATGGGAAGGATCATTTATCCGTTCATTTATTTAGCATACGGTATGGATTAGTTTAACGTCTTTCTGCTTTTAATGCCTGAATTCATTTTGATTTCAGGTTTCCAGAAATGGGGGTGTGTGGGGGGCTTCAGGGTGGTTGGTTTGGTTTCATTTAAGAAGCAAATGTTCATCTCAGGTAAACGAATAAAGCCAGCGGGATTAAAAGCTTTCCGACTGAGGGATTATCTTGTTGTGACACCATGACATATAACTTTTATAGGAATATGAGATCCCTGGATGGCAAAGCATCCGTCTGCTGTAAAAATTGTTTTGCTGATAAGGACTGACTTTTCAGAAGGTTAGCCTAGCCTTCTACACTCCGATGCCCTGGAGCTATTTTGGTTCCCTAGAGATGCTGTCAGTTGTGGTGTATGACATCTGGATGATAAACTCAGCAAGGGGAGGATGGGTTTAAAAGAGATGTCTTACATAAGGGGTGGGAACCTCCGGCCGTGCTACAGACTATGGTCTTCTTGCTGTTCCAGTTTGCCCCCTGGGATCTCCAGAGGAGACGCAATCCCTTTCCCACAATACCCCAGTGTTGGTTGTGTTTACTCCTATCCAAAAAGAATCCTTCAGGCTTGAATTACTAGCCAGAAGAGCTTGACGCTAACACATACTGGTATTTGGGGGTTTTACCCTTGCATCTTTGATACCACCTCCAAAAACATCTCCGAAATGGAAGGTAGCCATGGGAAAGAAAGAGGACCTGGTGTGGGCTTTGCCCACACTGTGGAGAAAGGGTTGGTGGTGGCTCTTTCAACTTGTGGGCTTTGTTGTTTGGTGTGCACCAGATGCAGCCTCTTTGAGGAACAGGACTCCCAGCCTTTCCCAGTCAAAGCCCTGTTATCTTCCAAATCACTTCTTTCCCCTTTAACTAAGCCTTTCTCAATGTGCCCCTGAAGTGAGCAAAAAACCACAGCCTGTGAGCTGGCTACTGCGTTGGCAATGAGACTTCCTCTTACCAGATTAGAAGCAGCTTCTTTACGACTGTGGCAGATTGTCTGATCTGTCTGACCCAGTGTTGCTACCCAGGTAGCAACTAACCAAGGATTCAGGAAGGAGTCTTTCCTGGCCCTTTCTAGAGAAGCTGAAGGTCTAACCTAGGACTGTCCTGAACAAGAGTTGAGATCCCCTCCCTAGGACAGTATCCCGCATTCTCGGGCAGCATCTCAGCCAGGTGTTAACCAGACTTGACCTTGGTTTAGCTTCCCAAATCAGATGTATTTAGGACATAACACAGCTCTTTCAGACCTCCTCTGTTTGGGAGACCCTCTGGTGGAAAAAAAAGGACCGTAACAAGGAGCAGAAGAATTTGCCACTCTTTGTAATGTTGATGGAGGTTGTTCCATCAGCAGGAGCAATGAAATGGCCATGAGAGAGATGAGCTTCTTGACAAGCCCTTCCACCTGTTCATAGGATGCGCTCCTCAGATGTGCTCCTTTTGGTCCTTTGGCACCTACACTATTGTCTTGTTCAAAGCAGGTGAATACGGTTGCCCCAGGATTTTGGCATTTAATTGGCATCAGTTTCCTACTTACGTTACCGTCCTACTATGAAGGTGGTTTGTGATTCTCAGCCATTCTGAATATATGTTTTGAAGATTTATTTTGTTTTTTGTTTGTCTTTTATTATTTTGTTGCTGCTGTGCCATGAAATGATTCACGTGCTGTGGGTTTTCTATGATTTTGAACTCTTTTTTTCCTTCTGTTTGCTGCCCAAATAACCTGGTTATGGGGTTGCAAATCAGTGTAATCAATCGATCAATCCATCAATCGAAGATCAGCAAACTATTTTACGGTCTGGGGGAAAACAACAACAACACATTACACTTGCTCATTGCTACATAGCAAGAGCATGAGTGAAAAGTTGAAGGACGGGAGCCTGAAAACAGATCAAGTGCATCTTCATATCTTCATTCATTGGAGCTGAACTATAGATTTTGCTACCGTATGATGCAGTGATGGCTGCCAACCTGGACAGTTTTAAAGATCAATAAAACACATTCAGGAAGGAGGATGAGTGATAATGACTAGTTAGGATGACTGCATATGAACTCTAATATCAGTATCTGGTGCGTACACCTCTTAATACCAATTGCTAGAGTGAGACAAGCAGAATGGTACAATGTTCTCATTGGCTTCTTAGAGGTCACTGGTCAGCCATGGTAGGAACACCATGCTTTGTTAAATAGCCCTTTGGTCCAGTCAATTTCATTATTTCTCCATCAGCATTATGAAAAGCATCTTAAATATTATTGAAATTGGATCCATCTTTGCATGAGAAATTCTCTGCCTTTTTAGCACCGTGTAGAACTGCAGAAGCCATTTTGCAGAGTATTATCCACGGAGAGATTTAACTTCTCCAAACGGTTCAGAAATGTGTCAAAAAGAAAGGGAAAAAAAGGATAGTAAACACAAATGAAAGGAGAAACAAGACAGATTTATTTATTTATTTGGTACATAGAAAGCTAATTCCCTCCACACTGACATGCAGTTTTCTCTGCACTTTGTGGCATTTTCCTTTACCCAGAAACAGTCAAAACGCAACCCTGATTTCCACTGTTTGGTCAAGAAAAATAAAAAATTCAATCTGCAACCACATTAAAGCACAAGCTCCTCTTAATCCTCGTGTGAACTGGCAGTTTGTAAGGAAGCCAGGACGTGTGTTCTGTGCTGAGGGCTCAGCATGTGGTTTGTAATGGAGGAATATAAAAAAGAGGAATGCTGAGCATGGGTAGAGTGCACCTGGGGAACATAGATTAGGGAACACAGCACAGCTCAAAGGGCAATGCAATAGCAATCTGATCTAGTTGGTTTGTTGGTGGGTTGAGTTTGGTTTTTTGAAACCCAGGAATTATTTCCTAATGATATCAAGCCTAAGATTTCACAAACCCACCAGTGAATCCGCAATGTGCTGAATGTG